AAAAAAATAACTTTGCTCTTAAGATTATGTAATTCAATTCTGGCAGAGACTGAATAAGAAAATGGGAAAAGAATAAGCAAATATATTTTATTTTTCCAGTATTAGATGAACATGATGGTGGAAACTATATCAGTCAATATGCTTCAAGAATTATGTTGGCTGAGAGATCCCCAAATTGGTCAGAGCTCTATTCAGATCATCACCAATCAATGTGCCAAACGTCATAACTTTCCTCCAAACCGCTCTACAGGATGCCATAGACATCAACGGCAGAGGAAACAGAATAATACAAGAATGCCTACAAAAACAATAGAGGTTAGACATCATATTTGGCCCTTAACGATGATGGAACAGTAAACTACAGTGGTGGAAATGGGAAGGACATCAACACAGTGGCAACAAGGGAAAAAGTCTCCGTCTCTGAGCCATCATGGCAGTGCTCTACATTTCACAACCTGGTACAGTTTATTCTGCACATTCCCACACAGCGAGCTCACCGCACCGACAGCTCAACCAAAACACACACAGTGCTGCGGTTCAATATAAAACTCTGTGACCTTGTTTGAGACCTAACTGGTTCAAAGGAGTCTGTAATTCTAAGAGTAATAGACCCTTGACTACACTTTTGGAAAGTCTGGTCCACAATGCTGTGAGTCCAGAACTGCCCAATTATACTGGATGAAGCTGTCTAACTACACGTGAAATGACCAACAAGTGGTTTAGCTGAAATTTACTAGTTATCTGATGAAGAGCCTGCATGCTCGAAACGTCACACGCTATGTGAAAGTTTTTTAAACAATTTTTTGATACTTTTGTAGCTTTGGTGTTGCCGACTTTATATTTAATTTTTTCTACTTTTTAGTCGAGCACCCATTTGAGGTTGATGTGTGTGCTTTTGTTTCCATTTTTAGCTGAAATTAACACTATAATAACTAGGGGTGTAATGATACATCAGTGTGGATTGATGCATCCATCAAATGACTAAAATCAATATACATATTTATAGATGTACAAGAAGACTTGTTTGACTGTTCGAAAGATAAAAAGATCACTGAGCTGTCATCAAATATGTTCTAACAACTTTTACAATTATTCAAATATTTTTTATATTTATTGTTCTGTATAAATGTATTTTTTTCAACAACTGCACTACTTCATTTTGTTGTGCATGTCCTAGATTTTCACATTTTAGAGAGCACAGATAACTAAAAGACTTCTTGACTGTTACTGCTTTCAAATCAATGCACAAGCCAATGATAAACTGTCATAAGACGATTGATGACCTCATGTGACTTGATTTTTTTTTCATTATTTATTTTTCTATATTATTTAATAAACTGAAAAGTTTTCTTGTGGATGACCCAGTTAGGATAGAGGACTGTAATTTTCAGAAAGTTCAGTTAAATGTTTGCATTATATGTATGCATTTGTGGGTTAATAAAAATGTAACTGGATGTGTATAACAGGCACACAACATTGTAATATTGATATATCAATCACAGGACCTTGAATCTTTTAAAATCGTATATTTTTTAAGACTTCTTAAAATATCAGCAAATATTGTATCGCTGGATAAGAGAATCAATGTCAGATCATATAGCGAAACGTTACACTCCTAACAATAACAGACCAACATGATTTTAAAAGAAAGTTCAAATAAAGTCATAGAAGTCTTAACACACCAGAAAAATTTAAAAAATAAATATTGCTCTTGATCATAATTTCTAACCAGACATATCAAAAAAAAAAAAAAAAGCAGAATAATATAGTTCTGGTTGTGGATGTGAAGTTTACTTGCTTTAAACTTACCAGTAACTCATAATCAGAAAGATATCGTCATTAGCATCGTTTAGATCCACATTCAAGATAAACATAAACTGTGCTCGGAAATACACCGCATTAAAGCATTTCAACCTCCCACAAAGCACTAGAATTAGTTTATTATTTCCAGACTGACAGCATTGGAGTGCCCCGCTGAAGCAGACACACAACACAGCTTTTGTTTTGGACGTAACACAGCCCTCTCCCTGGCCACTAGCACAATGTTATTAAATGAGCATTTCTCTGCAGGTCACCAGAGTCACCCCAGCACCATAAAAATGTCCCATCATGATCTACAGCCCCGACAACCAGTCGCTGATGCAGATGGAGCCAGTGAAGGCAATTAAGAGATCTCTCTTTCATTCCAGTCGGCACCGCAGCACCATTAGCCCAGCGTGACAGAAAACTTCATTTTCCGACATTTGTTTCAAGATTCAAAGTGCATTTGTGCCTGGCAGCTTTACTTGACACTTTATTTACTTTACTTAAAGGCAATCAGAGATAGAAGGATGACTTTTGAACCTAAATCCCTACAGGTGTGTCATATTGTGAGTCACACAAACTCATTCATGTATTTCCAAATCACTCCAGCAGCGGATCCTCTAGAGAGGACATGGATATTTCAGCAAAGCAGATGTGAAACATAATGGACTTATTGTGAAGACACAGGATCAAGACACTCAGGACTAGAGGACTTTTCATGCCCCTCTGTATCTACTACATGTGTTTTGTTTACATACAATACCAGCACCTGTAATTTGCCAGCTGGCTATGAACCATGAGACTTTTTGACTTTCCATGACTTTTACAGTCATTTGTGATTACTAGATGAGAATCACTTTACAGAGACTGCATTAAAAAAAGAGACAAGAGCTGAGCATAGTTAGACTCATTAAAGAAATTCCCATTACTTTTTTAATATTTTATAAGTTTCAAATCACAATTTTAAAACGTCCTGGTTTTCTATGACCGTGGGAAGTCTGTACAGTCAATCCATGGTAAGCTTTCCTAAGGGTAGGAAAAGGAGTGTCCTCTGTCAACAGCACATAACCAACCCACATGACTCAGCTCCACAGAGGAGAACAGGGCATTAAAACTCCATCTAAACACTGATGATGAGGGATTTCTACCTCTCTATGATCCTAGTTAAAGCCGCCATGAGTGGTGGGACATTTTAAAAATGTGAAAATATTACTATTACTAATCATGCAAATAAAAATCACACAATGCAACAAACTGTAACAGACCTAAAAAACAAATAGGTGTCATATTAATTATATAAAAAAAGTGTTTTCTTTTCTTTTAGGCCAAAATGTGACCTGAACATCAGATTCAGCTGTAACCATCTTTGAGTACCCTAAAAAGCACTCTGTAAATAAAATGTACTTAAAAATAATATGCTACAAGTCAAACATTTGACACACCTACTTACATTTTTTTTAGAACAATATGACAATTTAGAACAATAAAAAAGTGACCAAAACTATGAAATAACACAAATAGAAGCACTTTCTTTATGCATTTCCTCCATTACCTGGTCTATACAATGTCATACTAGCTAGTTTTCATGTTTTCATATATATATATATATATATATATTTTTTTTCACTTTTAGATTACTTCTAATCTAACTTGTTTATCATATTGATTTAAATAGGACAATTTTGTATCATATTGATATAAAAATGCAAAGAAAAACTGTTATTTACAACACGAAGTGCATTAAAAAAAACATTATACTGAATTATAAAGGTTTCCCAAACTGGGGTCCATAAAGGAACAGCAGGGGCTTCGTGAGTTTAACGAAAAGCTAACAACTACTTAAATCACAAAAATGTCAAATTAAAATAAATCATTTTAAAATAACATCAAACAAAATAAAACACTTACTAAAAAAATATTGTATTTGTTTACCTGCATGTCATGTGCCCATAACCAACATCAGAGAACCGTGAGCATGCAAATGTGATACTGAATCTTTAAAATATTTATTTTTAAATCTCAGGGGTACTTCAATTAGGTGAAAGAGGTTCAGAAGATGACAAAAAAGTTTGGGAATGCCTGCATTACATGTGAATAAGAAATCACAAAAGTCTTCCAAAGACATAATAATACATGGTTAAATAACCCACTGACCGATAATTCAAATAAAATATTAACGTGTTCATCAGTAGCTGATGCAATGTTGAAATACTGAGAAAACACTTCTTAAAACTCAAATGATTTTTGTAAATCCAGTGGTCAAATTCTATGTGGCATCTCAATTTGCATCTGTGTAATTATAGCCACCTGACTAATAACTGGTTTTTGTGTGAAACTGCTAGACTTTCTGAATGTTGGCTATTTTAGAAAGAAATATTTAAAATATGAAAAAGAGGAATTAGGGAGAATCAATCAATTATGAATAATTTGTTGCTATTGTGTGAATAATATGCAATGGTGTAATCAATAAAAAAGCAACTGTAGTCTGATTCCAAATATTTTTAAATGTAAATGAATCTAATTACAAGGAATCTGATTACGTAATCCAGATTACATGTAATCAGTTACTACCCAGCTAATCAGAAATTATTATTTGCTGTTTTGCAAATGAATGCATTACATTTATTTTTGTCTGCAAAACTAATTCCAAGTATGTTTTAGATCCAAGTATGTTATTGTAGATAAAAGTTTCTAAGAGAATGGAAACCAATCAATTCATTCAAGAGTCAGAAGGGAGTCTGAGAGCGGTGTATATAATCAAAACTCACATAAACTATGTGGGAAAAGCACATTATGAACTCATGGAGAGATTCAGCATAATAAATGTGATGATGCTTCCCACTACAATCCATATATCCCACCGATTCATATTACTAACATCCAGAATTCCCACTTCAGGAGGAGATGATCCCAGCAGGACAACTACACGTGCCACAGAGTTTCAGCCTACATTTAAAGAGTTCATAACCCACACCCACACACTACACACCGTGCTGGTATCCCGGGATAGAGAAGCGGACCAGCCTCGGCACATTCCCGTTTAATCTGAGAGAGCAGCGATACAAACAGCGCGCAACAAACTATCAAACTCCAGCCGAACGCGCGAGCCTTTGTAGCGGATGTGCGAACTCTTTGAACACTTCGTTAACATCCACCGGCGGGCACGGCGGGCACTGAAGATGTAAATGCAACATTACCTGATTTTTGTCATGAATTATCCGTCAGGGAAAAGTTTTGAGGACGCCGCTTCTCTCTCACAGACAGTGCGTGTCGGAAGCGCGCACGGCTCCTCCCTCCCTCCGCGCGCACGCACGACGTCTACGTCAAAGTATGTTTACTATCAAGGGGGCTTCTCATAGTAAGTGAGGTATCTTGATTTAGTGTTGAGGTGATGCTAGCACCGATTACAAAACTGGACCTCCACAGATTCTGAACAGGAAAACAATGTCACACTAGCTACCAGAGCTGGTTAGTAACTGATTACATGTAATCTGGATTACGTAATCAGATTCCTTGTAATTAGATTACTAATTACATTTTTAAATACTCCTAATCAGACTACAGTTGCTTTTTTATGGATTACATGATCACATATTATTTACACAATAGCAATAAATTATTCATAATTTATTGATTCTCCCTAATTCCTCTTTTTAATCTTTTAAAGGTGTCATATGATGCGATTTAAATGTTTCCTTTCTCTTTGGAGTGTTACAAGCTCTTGGTGCATAATATAGCATCATATGACCCCTATGTTGCTTTCTAAAATAGCCTACTGCTTGTACACATTCAGAAAGACACAGCATTTGACCACTGGATTTACAAAAATCATTTCAGGTTTAGGAAGTGTTTCAACATTGCATTAACTACTGATGAACACATTAATTTTTATTTGAATTATCACTCAGTAAGTTGTTTAACCATGTATTACTATAGCTTTGGGAGGCTTTTGTCTTTCAAACACATTTAAATGCACAAATTCCCAATTTTTTTTTCTTTTTTGTCATCTGAACCTAATATATTTACTTCAAGTACCCCTGAGATTTTAAAATAAATATTTTAATAATAAACTATCGTTTATTAAACATACGTTGGTTATGGTCACATGACATGCAGGTAAACAAATAAAATATTTTTTTAGTATATATTTTATTTTGATTGATTTATTAAAATGTTTTATTTTAATTTAACATTTTTATAATTTAATTAATTATTAGCTTTTTGTTAAACTCACGAACCCCCTACAGTTCCTTTTTGAACCCCAGTTTGGGAAACCTTTATAATGTAATGTAATGTTTAATGCACTTCAAGTTGTTAATAACAATGAATGGGACACACTCTGAAAAATGCTGGGTTAAATACAACCCAGTGCTGGGTAAAATAGGGACAAACCCAGCAATTGGGCTGTTTTGACCCAGCGGTTAAATGTTTAACCCAACATTCTGGGTAGTAACCCAACCGCTGGGTCAAAACAACCCAATTGCTGGGTTTGTCCCTATTTTACCCAGCACTGGGTTGTATTTAACCCAGCATTTTTTTGAGTGCATATTTTCTTAATCTTTGAGTTTTTATATCAATATGATACAAGATTATCCTATTTAAATCAATGTGATAAATGAGATAGGACAAAAGTAATCTAAAAGTAGTCTGATTGTATTATCTAAAATGTGTAATGTAATGGATTACAATTTTTGTCATGTAATTTGGAATCAGTAACGAATTACGATTTGTAAGTAATCTATCCAGCTCTGATAACTAGTTTTCTCACTTTTCACCGCAGTTAATAAATATTACATTTTCTGTACACAAACTCTGATTACAAAAAACCCACTTAAATTTTCCACAATTACTGAACAGAAAAAAAATATGTACACCATGCGGGCATTATAATAATACTGTCATGTTATATGGGGTAAGTTGTCACAATGAGAACTTGCCATTAAACAGACTATCACAAGCTATTTAGCACATATTAAACAGAAAAACAATATGAAGCACCAACATTTATGCATTTGTTTGGAGACCCCAGTGATTTATGTTTTAAAGTAACAACAGTCATTTCAAAGTCAACCTCTTATTTTCTCTTTATTTTTTCAAATTCTTTTCGCAGACCTAATCAAAACCCAGTAGGTTGATATTATTGAAGTTTTAATCATCACAAAGTAATCATGCACTTTTCAGAAACATGACTGGTATCTCTGAGACCTCGTAAATCTTATATTTACAGTTATCAACATTTTAATAATCAGTTCTCCTACTTTAAAGTTAAGGCAAGAGACTACAAGAATAGGGTAAAAAAAATATTTGAATAATTGAAAACACAAGTTAGATATTACAAGTTTTATGAAATGTTATATTTAAATATGTAAATTGTGCATAATCTAATTAAATATGCACTAATTTGCATAACAAAATCTGAGCATTGAATAACACCATGTTCAAAATTCTTGTTTTATTTTGTTGACCTATTAGAGTTATAGGTTTTTATTGTGTGTGTGTGTGTGTGTGTGTGTACCTGGTATTTATCACGTTATGGGGACCAAATGTCCCCACAAGGATAGTAATACCAGTAAATTTTGACCTTGTGGGAACATTTTTGAGGTCCCCATGAGGAAACAAGCTTATAAATCATACAGAATGAGTTTTTTTGAGAAAGTAAAAATGCACAAAGTTTCCTGTAAGGGGTAGGTTTAGGGGTAGGGTTGGTGTAGGGCAATAGCACATACAGTTTGTACAGTATAAAAACCATTATGCCTATGGGATGTCCCCATAAAACATGGAAACACAACATGTGTGTGTGTGTCTGTGAGTGTGTGTGTGTCTGTGTGA